GCTCTCCAGGTTTAGCGCGTTCTCTCGGCGGCATAAATCGTCCGATATCTCGGCGGCGCCTGCAAAGCGCGAGCTAAAACTTTCAGGAATTGATATTTAGTCCATACCCGACGTGCGTGCAAAATTTAAAGAAAATCTAAGCGTCGCACTTGGGGTACTTCCCTTGTAAGTTTCGATCTAAAAATCTCTGCCATTTTTGCAAAACGCTGGCTTGGAGCCTTGCATGTGTGCTAAAAAACAGTTTCGAAACTTGTGCCAAATTTCATCAAAATCTGAACGTCGCACATGGAGTACTTCCCTTGTAAATTCCACAACTGAAATTATTTTCTACGACTTGAAAAACGTATTTTACAACATAAAATTCTAAACAAGTATGCCCTCAAAAAATTGGATTAATAGCACTTCAATTGACCTCAAAAAACGCCCCAAAAATTGAATAAAATCATCCCCCAAAACTCGCTTTGCCTCACCCACGTATTCAATAGAAAATTTGTGGAATCGAATCAAGAAAGCCGAACATTCCAAATCTCCGAAAAAAACAGGGGAAGAATGGAGATATAAAATTTTTACGGGAACTCACAAAAGTAAAGGGGGCATCTCAAGGAAAACGTCAAAAAAATATTTTGTTCAAAGAGTAGTTTTAATCGTTTTCGGAACTCGAGGACTCAGCCTAGACGGTGAGGGGATATCTTCGCGGGGATTTTTGGTTTTACTGCTTACAACGAAAGTATTAAAAAAATCGTATTTTACAATGTGTTTGAGGTTTTGGAAATGAATTAATAGCGCTTAAACATATTGAAAAAAGAAGATTTTTTGAGTCTCTAGACTGCTACAAAACACTTGAAATTTATATGAAAAGACCTTTATCTAGGGCACATAATTTTCTTTTAAATATTAAACTATCTCACCGTATTATGAAATAGACATATATCAGTCTGTCGGGAAAATAATGAGCACTCTGTCGCATTGAAAATCGCATCGCCGCTGGGAAAATGAATTATGTCGCGGCAAAATCAAATTGCTTTTCACTTGAGCGATGCGATTGTGCTCACTATTTTCCCGACAAACTATTACTTTCCTTTGATTTGAGGTACTTTCCTTATAAAATAAGCCTGTAGCTAGCCAAACAAACCAAATCAAAAAAGCCTTTTTCTAGCTGAAAAATTCCTTTATTGGCCTAACTTGTAAGAGCGCTCACTATTTTTCCGACAGACTGACATCATTTATTCTTTCAAAATTCAAACAAAAAATATGAATTCATAGCCATGCCCGTATTTTACAAACAATATTTTTATAAGATTTCTTACATTTTTTACACTCACTTCCATATTACATTCTGTGTGATATTCTGTAACATCTAGTCTACAAAGATTTACCAACAAAAGGTCGATCAGAACGCCGTATTTTAAAACCCGCAATTTGCAAAACAACCCTCCCCAAACATTACCAGAAGCCCTCTTTTTCCGAGTATTTCCCAGACTGTTGTCGAGAGTATTTATTGCGCGTCTTTTTTTGATCCTCTTTCATTGTCTCTGTTTCTCGGACCCCTCTCTTCGGTCCCCATTCACTCTCGTTCAAGGTATTTTTCACCGCAAAATGACGCGCGTCTCGTTGAGGTAATACGGAAAGGTCATTCGAATAAATGGAGAGAGGAAGTTTATGCAAATTTTGGGGAGAGATGAATAAGAGAATAAGTTGAAGATTCAAATTTGAATTTTTTTTTAGAAAATTTGAAAATTATTTTTTAATGGAAAAAAGATTTTAGGATTGAAAAAAAGAGTTATCAGTCTGTCGGGAAAATAATGAGCACAATGTCGCATCTAAAAAAAAAATGAATTGTGTCGCGACAAAATCAAATTGCTTTTCACTTTAGCGACGCGATCAGCGCAGCGACTTTGTGGTCATTATTTTTCCGACACTCGACAAATTGACGTCTTAATTTTTGAAAAAAATGGTTTTTTAATTTTATGAATATTGAAATTCTTAAAACAAAAAGATCTTTTTGAATATTCAAATTTTAGAAAAAAAAAATTATGGTAAAAAATATAAAAAATAAATAATAAATTGCAAGCATCCGTTGAAAAAATTTTTTTTTTTCGAAAACTTTGAAATATTAAAGTTTTTCCAGACCAATCTTTTTTTAAATCTTTTTCTTAAAAATTGAGGAATTTCCCAACAAAATTCGCTAAAAAATTCAGAAAAAAATTTGTTTTCAGTATAATACACCAAAGAAGAACCATCGAAAATTACAATGAATAATTTATAGCCTCTCTTGATTCCTTCATTACATCCTCAACTTTTTCTTTTCTCTTCTCTTTTTTTTGGTTCTATGGCCCAACTTTTTTCGTTGTTAATTATCTGATGCTGCGATGCATTTCATAGCGGATTTTGTATTGTTTCTCTTGTGGTACTTCAGTGGGCCAAGAAATTTTTTATTACTTTGCAAAGATCACTAGGAATTTTTGTTTTAACCATTACGTTTAAAAAAAATAAAAGGACATCGGGAAAGTAATGAGCGATATGTACTTGTGACATATTCATCTCACTGCCGCAATGCGGTCTTCGACTAGGGCTCGAGACTAACGCAGCCTGCGGCTGCTACCGTCTCTCGGGCAGCTCTGCGTGTAAAGGCAACTTTGCGCCCGGTTTCGCTGCTTTGCGCGCGATTTGGGCAACATTCCAGGTCCAAATGTGATGTAAAGCTCGCCAAAGCTTTGCCGACGGCCTCCGGCCGCGACAGAAAAACGCTACGCGTTAGACTGAGCCTAGTAGAAACTTGTGGCGTTCGGAACGCTCAGCCGACCTTGTTATAGATCGAACAGTTAAGATCGCTAAGCTTACCCTAATCGCTAAGCTCAGGTCAGTCCCAGATCGCTAAGCCCGGCTAAAGAGCCCGCCGGCATGAGGCGACGGCCTACGGCCGCCGCGAGACTACATTTTGTTACCTAAATTAATTTTTCTTCCACCAAAAGCTGATCAAAAGCACATAAAATAAGCAAAAATCAACTAAAAAATGGAGTCAGGACTCAAAAGTATCCTTATATAATATTTTTCCTAAATTCCCCGTCAAATTTGGCCCAAAAACGGCCAAATCCCGAGAATCCAGGACCAAAAAAAATATTTTTACAAAAATTTCTCAAAAAAATCCAGAAAACCCCGTCATGACGCGTCACGATCCGTTTCCGTACCACCCTCCTCACACTCAGCACTCTCTTCGCCTTATCTCTGACCGGAATCGAAAGAGAAAACCTTTGTCTAACCACCCTCCACCCCTTTCCCACTCTCTCTTTTCTCCCGCCAAACGAAGAAGGAAGCGATTCTCTGCCCGCTCTCTCTCTTCTCCGCGCTCTTTTTTTGTGTTTTCGGTCATGGAAGTGGGCGTTTTTTCAAAATTGGCACTCGTTGCACTAAAAGTACCGAGGAAAAAGATACGACTATGTCCGAAATGACATGGAGATTCTGAATATGTAACTTTTAGACGAATTTTAGTTGGAAATTTTTGAGTTTTGACGGTTTTAAAAATTTTGAATTTTTTGGGCAAAAAAGTCGCTGCACGATTTGGCCTTAGGGGCTTATCACACGGTTCAGATTTCAACGGTTATACCAAGGCAACAAAATTATCTACTGCACGCGTGGAGCCGATTTTTCAATTTCGACCTTGTTCCCGAGCTATAGTAACTTTCGTCAAAATAAGTAAAATCCAAAAATTCGGAAATTCGAATACTGCTTTTTCAACCTGTGCGTATTTTAGGAACCGATACCTGTTTCTGTAGCAGTTCAGTGTGCTGAATACGATGGACGAAATTCAAATCCGAAAAAATTCGAGTCCAAGCCCTCAGGGCCGAATTTTGGCCGAAATTTCGAAATTTTTTTTGACTGGACGGTGCGCACGGAATATTGCAGGTAGAAAGCTGAAACTTGGCACGATGGTAGTTCATTTTGTGTCCTGTAGCACCCATATGATAAATTTGTTCAACTCCGCTTATTGCCCTGAGGGCAATTTTTTTCGCACGGTGCACCAAAAATCGACCAAAATTTCCGGCCGCACTGGCGGCCGTAATTTTAAAGATACAAAGAAGATGTAAGCGGGTAATTTGTAGAGCTCTTCGAGCTCTACAATCTATAGGTGGACATTTTTGAAATCGTTGTTGTACATCAGGGCGAAAATTTTGAAAAATCAAAAAAGTCGAAAATTTCGGAAAATTGCGTTTTCAAGTATGCACATTTTCTGAAACAATGGCTACGTAGAATGTTCTGAAAAAATTTTGGGACAATCTTCGAGCAAAAAAAAATAAGATCCGCGAGCCGTTTTTTTGAATTTCGACCTGGGAGCCGAGAACGATTTTTTTGAATTTTGCACTGTGCAAATCGTATTTTTTACAGTAAGCCATAAAATACGAAGGCGAGTTCGGGAATGAAAGACACTAATAGGAAGTCGGGTACGTAGAATCCAATGGAATGCAAAAAATCCAGAAATTGCGTCATCATGACGGGGTTTTCTGGAAGTGTAACTTTGTACATGGCCGTATCTACACATACATTGAGTTATCTCTTAGTTATGAATTTGCTTTCCCGATATGGACCTGTAGAAGCTTGCATTTCAATATTCCCCGGTCTAATTAAAAGATACGAAAAAAGGTCTTTTTTGAGATTTTTTCCGTAAATTTTGAAATTTCGAAAAAATCTCGACAGTGATTGTCCCGTTATGTACCATACGCGACGAAACCTAAATTCAAGTCGGTACCTATAAAACGAAGCGAGATATGGTATCTCAAAGTTTTGACCTTTTGTGACGTCATAGGTCGCTCAAAATTGAAAGTTTCGAAAATTTGTTTTCAAATTCATAATGAGACAGTCTTGAGCAACCTCCGTGCCAAAAATCAAGTCAATCGGAACAAAACAAAAAAGAAACCAAAAACCCTATGAATACTTGTATTTTTTTTAGACATGTATTTTCCACCGCCGTATTTTACAATATTAAACAGCATTTTTTTCTCAAAATGTCTTGTAGAAAATTGCATTACAATTTTGAGCCGACTTACAGCAATCTGACGTATTTCCTGGCTTCTTCTAATCCGTTCGGTAAGTCGCCGGACTGATTTTTGGGGTTTGCACTTTTCAAAAAAAGCCGACAGCAAAAAAAAGCAACAAATTGCACGTTCAAAGTGAATTTTTATTATCTCAAATCCCTCAGGGCAATGATTACTAGTCCTTCCGGTGACTTTCCGGAAAGACTATAGTATTTCGCCCACACTGTATCGATCGAAATTTTTTGTTTCTTTTGTTAATTGAGCCTTTCATTTGGACAAAGCTCTAAAATGGACGGGAATCATTTTTCTTTTATTTCGGGTTGCTGTGCGACTATTATCCGACATTTTTTATTATCAAAACCCCACTTGCCTTGTTCCAGTGCCTTACAAAAAACGCGAAGGAAAGTCGGAGGCTATAACTTACGGCGGAGGCGGCGCAGAGGCTTCGTATTTGGAATATGTATTTCTAAGCGACGTTAATTTTGGCCTATGAAAAAACAAGATCATAAAGAAAAATTTGACGTCGCTACAACTTTCTGAAGTAGGGGCATTTCTACCCCGAAAACCAGTGTTTTTTCGGTTGAAAATGATCGAGAAATTTCGAAATTTTTCGGTTGAAAATCACAAAGAAATGTAAGTTTTTTGAGGTTTTCAATAGAGCTTATGTTGAAAACAGGGATGGAAATTGCTAACGCGCTGCAAATTTTGCAAAAATACATATTCCAGAAACGAAGGCTCTGCGCCGCCTCCGCCGGAACTTATAGCCTCCGGCTTTCCTTCACTTTTTTGTAAGACCCTGTGAAAATATTTAGCGGTACACATCAATTTTCGATGCAATATACCGCGGTATATCGCATCGAAAATCGCATCGCCGATGAAAAAAATGAGTTGTGTCGCGACAAAATCAAATTGCTTTTCACTTCAGCAACACGATTTGGGCAGCGACATTGTGCTCAATATTTTCCCGACAGACTACTATTGCCAATTGAATTTTACGAAAAGGGATCGCAAAAACTTTAAAAAAGTTTTTGTGACATTTCGTCTTCCAAGCCCTATTCAATGCAGTTGAAAAGGCCAATATTCGTACATAGTTGTTGTTTTGTTCCTTGAATGTTTCAAAATTGGCCAATTTCCAGAAATTTGTCCCCACTAATTGCCACATAGCGAACTTTTTGGTCATCCAGCGACCCACAGGATTCTCCACATCCCGTTCCGTGAATTTGCATCACTTTCCTCACTTTCTGTCTTCTATTTTTCCCAATTTTTCTTTTATTTGCTTAACAAGGCCGGACATTTCCAAAAAAAAAGAACTTTTCCTCCCTTCCCATTCCCCAAGATAAGATTTATAAAGTCCGGCATGTGGCCGCGGAAAGAAAGGGAGGGGTAATGTCAATCGACATCTGATCGATGGCATGTGGGTAAATTAAATGTTTCAGGCGTTAGTTTCGCGGAGTTTCAGGGGGTTTATTCGAGGATTTGAGGCGTAATGATGGCTTCAATTTCTTTGTGAAATTGGTTTTTGATGGATAATATAACGTTATGGTAAAATCAATCATTTGTATCGTATAATTCCGGGCGTTTATGCGTGATAGGAAAGTTTTGTCGTATTTTACAACTATTTTTCTGTTTGAAAACACTCTTTTTTGGCGTAGAGTACATACACAATCTAATAATGACGCAAATAACTTTGTTTTAGAGGTTACTTAGTTTACACCATGTTTTGAATAGTTTGGGTTTAAGAAAAGAGTGTAGAATTTTCACTGCCGATCTTAATTTATTTTTGGATACTCCGTTGTAGATTAACCAAAAAATGAATACAGTGGAACCTCTGTACAACGAATAAAAACCAAAAACTTCTGAGGCCACAAAAGCCAATTCCGGGCCAAAAGAAACTTTTTTTACGGAAAAAAACCTTCTATAACGAATGACTTTTTGGTTGCTTTGTACAGGGGAATGTAGTTGCTATACTTCTTCAATTTTTTATTGTATTTTGCAAATTTGTTCCTTAAAGGCTGGAGATGAGAGCTGATCCTTGCAAACGTTCTGCTTATTTTTTATTCATCGTTGATGACAAGGAAGTTGACAGGAGAAGTACCCGAAACGCAACGCTCAAATTTTCATAAAACTAGGCACGAATTTATTCTATTTCTCAAAACATCTTGCTAGCTCATGTTTCGACGAAAAAATCAGAAGGTTTCTTCGGTTGAAATTTGATAAGAAAAAAATAGATTTTTTTGGGAACTTTGGCCAATTTTCCATTGGTTTTCTATTGTGAAGTTCACAAAAATGTGGCCGCATTGATTCCTTTTTACATGGGAAGTACCCCAAGTGCGACGCTTAGATTTTCTTTAAATTTTGCACACACGTCGGGAATAGACTAAATATCAATTCCTGAAAGTTTTAGCCCGCGCTTTGCGGGCGCCGCCGAGATATCGAACGATTTTTGCCGCCGAGAGAGCACGATAAACGTGGAGAACCGTCAGAGAGAAAAGCGCTTTTTGGCCATAACTTTGGCAGTTTCGTGCGGAAAAATTTGATTTTTTGTAGAAACATTATCCTTTACAGTTGAAATAGGCATGAAACTTTTCGTGCCGAAATTCGGCAAAAAGTCCTAAATTTTCGCCGAGTTTCGATCTAAAAATCTCGGTTGTTTCTGCAAAGCGCGACCTAGGATTCTCGCATATATCTTAGAAAAAATTATTCTAAATTTGTGCCAAGTTTCATCAAAATCTGAGCGTCGCACTTGGAGTACTTCCCCTGTTAGTTTTGATGATATTGCAGACTCTCGACGGAGAATTTTTCCACGTATTTTACAAGCACATTTCATCTTATGGTTATTTTTAAAATACGCACACTTTAATGGGCAGTTTTTCTGTATTATAAATAAATACTTTCATTTTCAGCTGGTTCAAAAATTTCATCGACGATTCTGTTTCCATTCAGCGACTACAAAACTCAACTGTATTATTTATTCGGGTTCTTATGTCTTCTTTCATGGCTGGCCTTTAATTTGTGGGCGTTGAGAGACTACTTTTGCCCATGCTGGTTCGAGACGTTGTATACGGAAAGTGGGCTGCCAAAGAATGAATTGAGAGTAAGTTATAAATCAAATTTTTTGTAAAAATGAGATTTTGATGGGTTGAAAGTTTGTAAAATACGTCCATATTAAATTTTGTTTTATAAAATATTATATAAATATGAGAAGCAACACATCTCTGTTGATCAAATCACAGGACGTAAAAAATTCTTTGTCATTGAAAGTAAGCATGGCTGCAAACCGGGCCAGCCCGGCCTGGCCCGGGCCGCAGGCCCGGGCTTGAATCTCCAAGCCCTGCCCGGGCCCGGACTTGGAAAAATTGGAAAGCCCGGCCCAGTTCGGCCCGGAAAATTTTTACACTAGGTTGGAAAGAAAGAAAGCGGGAATGAAAGGAAAATTATGGCAAATTTTCGCAAAATGTAAAGAAAAATTTACCAAAACCTACGTACATAAGGTCGCTTTACGTTCGCTATCAGCAGTGTGTTCGAAAACATGAAAAATTCTATCGAAAAAGCATATTTTTTCCTTTTTTCCGGGCAAAACTTAGATTTCAAAAAAACCGGGCCGGGCCTAAAAATCGAAGCCCGGAGCCGGGCCGAGAAATTAGTCGGAAAAATTTTGCAAAGCCCGGCCCGAAGCCATGCCTAATTGAAAGGAATAGATATAAAAAGCTGAGTTTTTGGATCGAAGTATGCAACACAACGTTTTTTCACGGAATTCTGGTCGCGTCACGCCACGAAAACAAATGTTTGGCGTACTGTTAAATAATGTTTTTTGGCTTCTTCGAGTAATTAGAAAAATTGTAATTTAGCCCAGTATTGAACAAAATCTTGACAGAAAAAAGCTATAGACCCTATCAGTGAATTTTTCCTGTTATAGAAGGTCCGGTTTGTCTTTCAAAAACACTATGTTTGATGAGTTTGATAATTAAAATATCTCTAGTTGCGGAATGCCAAGGATTTTGTCATTTTGCGAAAAGCCCGGGCAACCATTTCAATCATTATAATAGCAGGAAAGATGGCTCAATAAGTCGAGTTACGAGCCGGAAAAAGTTCTGAAACTTTGCATGATGATTGTGAGTGATGTTGTAGTGCTGATCGACCATTTTTGTAGGATTCGTGACTAAACGTCGCCCGCTAGGCGATTGCAAAGTTCTAAATTTTGGGAAGTTTGAAGTCGAATATCTCAAAGACTGAATAACACATACAAATTTCTGAACCTCTAACAGAGAGATAACTGCCTACTCTTTCCAATTCACCATTTATCAAGTCGCTCAATTTTGGATGATCGGGTGAAAATATCGTATCTTTAAGACCACCTTTTTGGAGCGAAGTGTCACAAAAATTCGATCGATAATGGCGCAATTAGAGCTCGACTTCCGCTTTTCTAGTAGAGTCTAAACGTTGTGCAAAGATATGGGAGAAAACTTTAAAAAAATTTTGAAAAAAAAACTTTCTCATCAATTCCGTTTGTTTTAGGAATTTTCAGAAATTGATTTGTAGGCTTGGAAAAATCTTTTTTTTTTCAAAATTAACAGTTTTTTTTTATTTAAAAATAGTTTTGGCATTTTGAAAAAAAACCTTAAAAATCTTTAAAATACGATGATCGCTCTTCTTACTATAATTTTATAAAAGAAAAAAAAATATTTTCAGTTAAAAATAATTCAACTCAAAGTACACGATCGAATGCGCGGTGCCATGTCAGTCCCATCCAATATCTTTGTGCAAACTGAAGCTCGCAAAAAGTTGAGTGCAATTTTGGATACCGAAGAAGAGAAGAGAAAAAAGTCGAGTATTTTGGAGGGAACCTACGACCCAAGTCTACATACGGAAAACCATTTATATCCGCCGTCATTGTATCATGTTGTGTAAATAGCTGAAGAAAGGTAGAAAATAATAATATAATAATTGTAAATATTTTGTGGAGTAATAAAATGGCGATTAATATTTTTTTTTTGATTTTTGGATTTTAATAAAAATAACAAAAAATATTTTTGAATGTAATTTTACCTTTAAAATATTTTTTTTATTTTTCGTCATTTTTTTAATTTAATTTTTTTTTTGAACGCTAAATTCAACATTTATTTTTTGATTTTTTTAAAAATAATAAAAATATTTTTGAATGTAATTTTACGCTTTAAAATATTTTTTTAATTTTTTTACCGTTTTACCAATTTTTTATTGCTATTTTTGTTGACCGCTAACAGGGGAAGTACCCCAAGTGCGACGCTCGGATTTTCTTTAAATTTTGCACACACGTCGGGTATGGACTAAATATCAATTCCTGAAACTTTTAGCTCGCGCTTTGCGGGCGCCGTCGAGATATCGGACGATTTATGCCGCCGAGAGAGCACGCTAAACGTGGAGAGCGGTCAGAGAGAAAAACGCTTTTTGGCCATAACTTTGGCAGTTTCGTGCGGAAAAATTTGATTTTTTGTAGAAACATTATCCTTTACGGTAGAAATTGGCATGAAACTTTTCGTGCTGAAATTCGGCAAAAAGTCATAAAGTTTCACCAACTTTCGATCTAAAAATCTCGGTTGTTTCTGCAAAGCGCGAGCTAGGATTCTCGCATATATCTTAGAAAAAATTATTCTAAACTTGTGCCAAGTTTCATCAAAATCTGAGCGTCGCACTTGGAGTACTTCCCCTATAAATTCAAAATTATTTTTTGTTATTTTTTAAAAATATTAAAAATTTTAAAAATTCTTTCGGCAAAATGATCGATATTAATAAAGCGAAAATAAGCGTCCATTTGTAAAAGCGATGGCCAGTTGTTCAGCGAACGGCCATTTCCTTTCGATCACAAAGGCCGATTATTTTTTTTAATGCCACGAAAAGAAAGAGGAATTTATTGATCAGCCTTTCTGCAAGGAAGCCCTTATTTTTTCTCTCGAAAAATTTTTATTTCATTTTTTATTATTTTTTTAGATCTATACATAAAATAATTGTTTTTACTGACAGGGGAACTACTCCAAGTGCGACGCTCAGATTTTGATGAAACTTGGCACAAATTTAGAATATTTTTTTCTAAAATATATGCGAGAATCCTAACTCGCGCTTTGCAGAAACAACCGATATTTTTAGATCGAAAGTCGGCGAAAATTTAGGACTTTTTGCCGAATTTTGGCACGAAAAATTTCATGCCTATTTCTACCGTAAAGGATAATGTTTCTACAAAAAATCAAATTTTTCCGCACGAAATTGCCAAAGTTATGGCCAAAAAGCGCTTTTCTCTATGACCGCTCTCCACGTCTAGTGGGCTCTCTCGGCCGCAAAGATCGTTCAATATCTCGACGACGCCTGCAAAGCGCGAGCTAAAACTTTCAGGAATTGATATTTAGTCCATACCCGACGTGTGTGCAAAATTTGAAGAAAATCTGAGCGTCGCACTTGGAGTACTTCCCCTGTGAGTTTACCATCATGTTTAAAAAAAAAATTATTTTTATCTCTCCAAAATTCAGCCAAAATTTTCCCCAACACTTTTCAGCACCGCGCTGAGAAGATAAACAATTGAAACGTCAAAAAACATTAATTTTATGGCCGCGCGGCCAGAAGGAAAATTTGGACAGAGCGAATACTCCTATTCGCCTACTACTTTTACTCTTTGGCCTCAATTTTATGGGTTTTGAGTTCGGAAATTTCGCAAAAATTAAAGCGAACAGTCCAAGGAGGAGAGGGAGAAAATGGAAGGTTCTTTTCTGGGAATTTTATTTTCAAAATTCGGTTTTGAAAACAATCAAGTCTTCGGGCAGCAAATCAGAAAAATATTTCCTTGCTGTATAGAGTTTTCAGAGTACGTGCTTGGAATTTGATGCTTGCTTTATTCAGAATTTTATTTTTTTTAACAAGGCAAGTACTTCTATGGGGTATGGGGTTACAGGTCGAGATATATCACAAAAATCCTCGAATTTTTCTGATTCAGAATATGTAAAAATTAGCTGCCCAATTTTGGTTTGTAAGGACGAAAAATCCCTCAGAACTTTTCTAGCAACATTAGTCAAATAAATGCTTTTTCGACCAAGTTTTTACCAATTCAAAAGCTTTCTTTTGAGCTAAAGTAAACCGTGGAATCTTGACAAGCCTTAAAATTTCAAATTTAGTTACATCTTAATAGTACAGGGTGGGGCATTTTTGTGGCCCGATTTGAATTGGCTATAACTTCTTTAGTTTTTGGCCAAACCTTCAAAGTCTTTTTTCACCTGAATCCTCTGACAACCTCATTTTGTTTGATACCAAATATGTTATACATAGTAAGTGTATGTCTACAATTATTGGATTTATTCTTACATCTTTTGATATATTTCTCGACCAGCAACTCCATACCCCATAGAAGTACTTTACTTGTAAGAAATGGCTGAGATTTTTAGATCACAAGTCTTCAAAAAAGCGACATCTTTTGGCCAACTTTGGTATATAAGTTTCCTGCCTACTTCTATCTCATATTGCAATGCTTCCACAAAAAATAATTTTTTTTCCTCACAAACCTGCCAAAGATATGGCCAAAAAGTCCTTTCTCTGACCGCTCTCCGCTTTTCGGGTACTCTCTCCGCCGCAATCTTCCTTGAGCATCTCAGCTGCTCTTTCAACGCAAATTCTATAATAATTGAGAGCTGTTTTCAAAATTTTTTGAAATTTTTTCACCCTCAGACCATGAGTTTTGTAAGCCCCATCAATCTAGTTTGTTTATATCTGTCTGATTTTGTCTCTTTTTTACTATGTTACTTACTCATCAGTCAGCTGTTTTCTCAACAATTTCCGATCCCTCTTTTCCCTTCATTTCTCTCCGGCCGAGGAGATCAGCATTTGGCTATTAGTTTACTTAATACATCGTTTTTATATAATTTGTTGCTTTTGGGGCTCTTCTTTATATAATTCTTTATATAAACCGGGAAAATAGAGGAATGATGCATGCTTTTGGAACGGATAAGCTTGCTGTTGAGGCAGTATATGTCATTGGCGACTGTTTTGAGTATTTCTAGATATTTTGTATATGTATTTTGAGGATCAAAAGTAAGTATTTTTTGAGAGTACTTTTTAATACAGCGAAGCCTTTGCGCCAAAAAACAGGCATAAAACTCTCTACAACGGACAAATTCAGATGCCTCAAGAGTCAATTGCAGGAAGCTATGTAGAACAAAGCCTTTGTATAATAAAAAAATTGTTTTCCTTGCTATTCGTTGTACAGAGTTTTGGCTCCAAAATGTGCGAAATCTTTTAATCCAGGGCTGTTTTCAAACCCGACTGAAAAAATTGTACAATGTTCGTATTTACAGGGGAAGTACCCCAAGTGCGACGCTCCGATTTTCTTTAAATTTTGCAGACACATCGGGTAGGGGTTACATATCAATTCCTGAAAGTTTTAGCTCGCGCTTTGCCGGCGCCGCCGAGATATCGGACGATTTTTGCCGCCGAGAGAGCACGCTAAACGTGGAGAGCGGTCAGAGAGGAAAGCTCTTTTTGACTATAACTTTGGCCGTTTCGTGCGGAAAAATTTGATTTTTTGTAGAAACATTATTCTTTACGGTTGAAATAGGCACAAAACTTTTCGTGCCGAAATTTGGCAAAAAGTCCCAATTTTTCGCCAACTTTCGACCTAAAAATCTCGGCTGTTTCTGCAAAGCGCGAGCTAGGATTCTCGCATATATCTTGGAAAAAATTATTCTAAATTTGTGCCAAGTTTCATCAAAATCTGAGCGTCGCACTTGGAGTAGTTCCCCTGTTAGTATAATAAAAAAAATTTTTCCTTTGCGATTCGTTGTACAGAGTTTTGACTCCAGAATGTGCGAAATCTTTTAATCCCGGGCTGTTTTCAAATCCGACTTGTAAAAATCGAAAAAAATTGTACAATGTTCGTATTTTAGAAAAAAAATAAGTTCTTTTTTTCTGCTGCAATGTTCCCACATACCTTATTTGGTTTTTGACGATAGTTGGAAAACTCAAATTTTTGTTTTTTTTTTGTAAAATACGTGGTTCCAAATGGAAGAAAAAAAGTTTAGAGGTCAAAATTTCACTTACTTTCGATCTAAAAATCTCGGTTGTTTCTGCAAAGCGCGAGCTAGGATTCTCGCATAGAAAAAATTATTCAAAATTTGTGCCAAGTTTCATCAAAATCGGGGCGTCGCACTTGGGAACTTCCCCAGTAAATTTAATTTTTTTAAAAGTTTTACAAACTCGGTATATTAAAATTGAAAAGATATAGCATCTAATCCGTATTTATTTTAATATACCAAGATATTTTTCAATGATCTTTGCCTCATGCCTTAGCAGTACTCTTTCGCAACATTTCTTGCAAATTTCCCCCATCTTATCCTGTTTTCTTGTTTTGTTTTCCCTTCCCAAATTAGCCCAGCCTCTTTTCTTACACTCCTCGAACAAAGTGTAAATCATTCTGATTTTTCGCCCCCCAATTTCTGATTCATTCAATTCTCATTCTCCATTTAGTGGGTCTCCAAGAAAATTTTCTTCCGTTTTTGTTCGCATTATATTTTTGGTACGTTAATCCCAAGGCGGATTAAAAAATATAAATTGAAGATGGGTTTAACCATGATTAATCTCCCTTCGGCCGCTTCCTCGGCCGAAAATGGAGTTACACTCGGAGAGGGGGGTTGGGAAAGGGATTGCGCAACACTTTTTGAATTTATTTTTTGATTTTTACAGCGTTTAGCGGTTAATTTCAGTCTTTTGTGCGACAAATTTCAAGGGAAAACAATGTCTGTTATAGAGGGGTTTCGATGTAGGGAGGTTTGTCTTGGCCTAAAAATTGGGCGGGCCCACACTTGCTTGAAAGACCACGGATATTCTGCGGACATGTTTTGAAATCAGCCAAAACTTGCTTACAACTGGAAATTCAAACGATGGGCTTGACGATT